GTCCTCTAGGGGGAACTCTTTATGATGTTTTACTGTTAGCAACCAAGCTGAGGTCACTGGGGTCAAGTTCTGTCTCATCCACGTAGAACTCTGGAGGATGACCTTTGACCCCAGGTCACGACACCAATGGGCGTGTCTATATTTTCTTGCAGCCTTAGACATGGTGTTGTTGTTGTTGTTCCTCCTCGCAGATAAACAGAGTTCCTCGATGTGGAGGAGCGTGAAGGAGAACCACAGTCCAGAGGTGGAGGATGATGGGAAGGTTCTGAGGAGGAGCACCAGAGTCAGCACCGCTGCTGCAGAACCAGACGGCGATGACGACGGCGAGGCAGCCGAGCAGAGTTTCCTCGTAGAAGAAATATCTGACGAAGACAACGACGTGAACGATGAGGAGGCGAAGGCGCTCAAGAGCGTGGAGAGGAAATGCCCCTACTGCCCCGATCGATTTCACAACGGCATCGGACTGGCCAATCACGTGAGAGGTCACCTGAACCGAGTGGGTGTCAGCTACAACGTGCGTCACTTCATCTCCCCTGAGGAGGTCAAAGCCATCGAGAGGAAGTTCTCCTATCAGAAGAAGAAGAAAAAAGGTCAGAGGTCACTGAGGGTCATTTAAGGTCAACGATCAGCAGACCATAATCTACCATTGTTCAGTTATCAATTATGGTGGTGTCAGTTCCACTTTAAAGCCGCCGGCGCCCCCTGGTGGCTGCAGTACGTATTATAAATACAGTCTGAACCACAGCGTTAATGTTTTTGTCCACAGTCGCCAACTTTGACCCGGACACTTTCAGCGTGATGCACTGTGAGTTCTGCAGCGCCGGCTTCGACACCCGGGCCGGGTTGTCCAGTCACGCTCGGGCGCACCTCCGGGACTTTGGCATCACCAACTGGGACATCACCATCTCACCCATCCACATACTCCGAGAGCTGTTCTCCAGGAGACCTGACCTTGTGCTCCCCACAGCCCCCCCTCGGAGCCTCAGCTCACCCCCTCAGGAGGGGGAGGAGGAGGAGGAGGGGGAGGAGGAGGAGGAGGGGGAGGAGGAGGAGGAGGGGGAGGAGGAGGAGGAGGGGGAGGAGGAGGAGGAGGGGGAGGAGGAGGAGGAGGGGGAGGAGGAGGAGGAGGGGGAGGAGGAGGAGGAGGGGGAGGAGGAGGAGGAGGGGGAGGAGGAGGAGGAGGGGGAGGAGGAGGAGGAGGGGGAGGAGGAGGAGGAGGGGGAGGAGGAGGAGGAGGGGGAGGAGGAGGAGGAGGGGGAGGAGGAGGAGGAGGGGGAGGAGGAGGAGGAGGGGGAGGAGGAGGAGGAGGGGGAGGAGGAGGAGGAGGGGGAGGAGGAGGAGGAGGGGGAGGAGGAGGAGGAGGGGGAGGAGGAGGAGGAGGGGGAGGAGGAGGAGGAGGGGGAGGAGGAGGAGGAGGGGGAGGAGGAGGAGGAGGGGGAGGAGGAGGAGGAGGGGGAGGAGGAGGAGGAGGGGGAGGAGGAGGAGGAGGGGGAGGAGGAGGAGGAGGGGGAGGAGGAGGAGGAGGGGGAGGAGGAGGAGGAGGGGGAGGAGGAGGAGGAGGGGGAGGAGGAGGAGGAGGGGGAGGAGGAGGAGGAGGGGGAGGAGGAGGAGGAGGGGGAGGAGGAGGAGGAGGGGGAGGAGGAGGAGGAGGGGGAGGAGGAGGAGGAGGGGGAGGAGGAGGAGGAGGGGGAGGAGGAGGAGGAGGGGGAGGAGGAGGAGGAGGGGGAGGAGGAGGAGGAGGGGGAGGAGGAGGAGGAGGGGGAGGAGGAGGAGGAGGGGGAGGAGGAGGAGGAGGGGGAGGAGGAGGAGGAGGGGGAGGAGGAGGAGGAGGGGGAGGAGGAGGAGGAGGGGGAGGAGGAGGAGGAGGGGGAGGAGGAGGAGGAGGGGGAGGAGGAGGAGGAGGGGGAGGAGGAGGAGGAGGGGGAGGAGGAGGAGGAGGGGGAGGAGGAGGAGGAGGGGGAGGAGGAGGAGGAGGAGGAGAAAGTCAGTGAAGTGAAGCTGGAGGAGGAGACCAGCGACAGACCCATCAGCTCGGCCTTCTGTGACGTGGCCTCCTCAGAATCTCCTCACCTGTGGGGGAGGACGAGTGGTGGAGCAGTGGGGGAGTGTGAGGGTGAGTTAAACAATCATGACTGTTTTAGAAGTTCATCCAAGGCCGACTGGACTTCCTGTTGTTGTTGTTGTTGTTTGTGTGGCTGGAGGTGTGTGTGTGTTTGACACAGTAGTGTGAAAATAAAGTTCCTCACAGGAACAGGAAGTTCTGAAGGCGGCCTCCTATTGGACGGTGTCGGCTGTAACGAACACGTGTTCTTTCTTTACTGACTTTTTCTCTCTAAACGGGATCACAACAAACTGACGTGAAAAGAACTGACTCTGACTCTGAGACCAGGGTCCAGGAATGACCCCCTGACCCCACCCCCACCCCACTACTACAGCCTCACATCAGAGCTCTGTATCTCTGGACTTGATCGTATGTGAATTCATTAATTATTAATTAATCATTAATTAACTGTGAAACAGAAAGTCTTCCACGTTGTCCTCACTGGTCATGTGACCACAGCTCGGAGCCACTGACCGTCTGTTGTCCAGTGGGTATTATTAGGTGTTGTGATAGGGACCGTCTATAAATATTCTCACCACACAAAAAGAATTTTCTCTTGTTCTCCCCCTGGGAGTTAGGATTAGAACCAGGCTCAGATTAGAGTTAGGATTAAGATTAAGATTCGATTTATTTATTTGTAGAATGATGGATTATATCGATGTGAAGAACTCACAGAAAACAAGGTCTGTGTTTGTGTGTGTGTGAGGGAGAGAGAGAGAGAGTGTGTGTGTGTGTAAGGGGCACCGAGAGGGTGTGTGTGTGTGTGTGAGAGAGAGAGAGAGAGAGAGAGAGTAAGAGAGTGTAAGTAACTGATGCCGGTGGTAGATGTGGCACTCGGTACGTTTATCCCAACCTCCGCCTCCACTCGATTGGTCACGCCTTAGAGTAGCAGTGCATATGGGGGCAAAATGGCTGCTTCCACCTCTCCGCAGACCCAAACAATAGCGGAGAAACTGTCTTGCTTCAGCCGCCAGGAGTCCGATGCAGTGCGGTTGCGGACCGGTGAGTACCGACCGACCGACCGACCCGCCGCTCTCTGTGCCGCGCGTCCTGGCGTCGCGTCGCGGTGCGGCGTCGTTCGCAGCGCGCGTCTGCGCCGCATCTACTGCCACCGCGTACTCAGACCACAGCCATTGACGGAGTCGTCGGTGCCACACGGCTGCTGGGAGTCGAGTCGTGCACAGACATGCAGGTAGAGCCTGGCGTGCACGACACTGCCCCCCCGCCCCCTCTGCTGGGATTGTTCTGCCGCTGCTGCAGGGGGGTTGCTCTGCCTCCCCCTTTCTCTCCCCCCCGTTTCTTAAAATATTGTTTCTTCATTTCGTCTTCGTGTCTGAGGTGCGTGCTTTTTACATTGTGCACGCCCGGGGGGGCGGGAAGAGCGCTGCAGGGTGTCTATACCCCCCCCAGCACCCCCCT